CCCCAGGACATACATTTTCTATAAAGTATTTTAATGCCAACTATCCATTTATTTATATAGAAACCACATCAAAGCTTTACACTGTAAATAGTGTACGTCTATATACGTATTACACACTATCTACTATACAGATGCTATCTTAATGAAAAAAAAAACATTGATGGGCAGTCAAGTCTACAGTTCACCTTAGCCAAGTTTGGCAGTATATGCTGGCTTTAACCGTGCCTTTGTTCTCGCCTCAAATCTACTTGAACACATTTTCATGTGTGGTTAGAACGCCTTGTGTCCTTTTGGTTTTGTGCAAGTCCAGATGATTGATAAAGAACACTCTTTAGATTTTAGTGTTGGACACGCGTGTCATTTTCGCTCTGAGCCGTCACTCCCTCTGCGGATTGTGTGTGACCAGTTGGTCCTGATGAAAGAGGATCTGCCACCTGCCATTTGGCATTCCAGTATTTTGCTAAGCTGGGCAAATTGGGATGGGCAAAGCACGAATTATGCAGAACATGTAGGCAATTGATATATACTTCTGTATGTGTTGAAGATAAAGGCCATATGCTACTGGCAACATGCAGTTGCTGTCTAGTATGTGCATAAAGAAACATGGAGTCAAAAGCAGGACTGGACAATATTTTACAGCCTTTTAGTAATATTTGATATATATCTTGACATATTTGTGGACTTATTCAGTTATATAAAAAACGTGCACAGTGACATTTATGTTAGTTAAATTTATCTGCAACAAAATATGTAAATATTTGATATAGCGCCTAGCCCAAAGTCAGAGGTAACTGTATGTGGATAATTTGTATTATTTTTGGTTTAACAACTACTTCCTGGATTAAAATTTTGTGTTGTTAACAAAAATAAGAGGACCCAAGATAGGACCCTGTGGTACACCATATATATATATATAAAAAAAAACAAGTATAGACTGTTCATTGTCATTCGTTTGTGTTGTTCTTATATACTTTTTCTGTTTGATATATGTGCAGATGTCATGAGAAACTCATTCTTACTACCCTAACCCCCCCCAAATAGCACTTGGATGGTGGATGCCTTCTTTAGAAACGCACTATTGCTGTTATGTGCTTGCCTTGCATCCATGCAATTAAAGTTAATGTTTGGTTAAGGGTGGAGGGGATGGGTAGGAGGATGCTTTATCTTCAAATTGTTCTTTTTTTTCTATCTGGCGGGGCTTGTGCTCTCTGCAATTACGGTGCAGCCTTGACACAATGTTATTGTGTTTTTGGAGAGCCCTGTTCTGGGAAGGGAGGACAGATAGAGGAGTGTGCTTCAGCTGGAGAAAGATGGCTCTAACAGCACTAGCATAATTAGCTCAGTGGTGTCTGTCTATTTTTGCTGTCTTTCTTTATTTAGCCTTGAGAATGATTGTACATACGCATTTCTCCTTGCTTTTGTTTTTTTTTCTTTAAAATGGACAGAATGCACTTTGTATTTGCTTGCTGAAAAGGGATACTGTGGAAGTTGATTTAATATGGCCCTAAAATGATGTTACAGTTAAAGTAGGAGCCATAGAGCTGCAGTTAGCTTGTGGTAAGACATGTTGAGCTCTGCTGCTCGTGCAGGTAATCTAGTTTTGAGTCCAGACCGCAACATGTCCTGACCATTAGCTATGTCCTCTCTCTGGAAATGTCTTTTTACTCTTCACTATATAGGCCTATCTGTCTAATATAGTGGCAGATTTCATTAGGCCCTAATTTTCTCATTAAGCATTCTGTTTCACTCAAAAATACATCATATTATGAAGGTAAAATAGGTTGTGAATGTTGTTTCATGTCATCTTTAAAGCTGAATTTAAATCCTCTGCTTCCAGTAGCCTTTGTATAATCCTTTAATCTGAGGTCCCATGAGTGTTATGGTAGAGTATTTATCAGTGCTGGTTAAGCCTAATCTTGCAGAGATTCTGCTGCTCATTAGCTTTTTTCCCCACCAGAACTAAAGTCCTATGAAGTCCATATTGTTTAAAAAATAAAAATAAAAAAATTCCTAAATTCACGTCCACTGACGAACAGGGCTGGTCAAGGGAGCGCAGCATCTCCAAAAGGTTGCTGTGCTTATCTGCATTTTCCCCTTCTACAGAACATCAAACACACAGTTTTAGTCTGGGTTTATCGAAAACCGCATGGTGTCTATGGCATGCGTTTGAAGGGGTTTTCAAGGTCTCCTCGTCCTCCTTTTCCACATCACCTGCAGCAGAAATTCTGCAGGGAGGCTCTGCTTGTCATGTTGTGCACTTAAAGTGACACTTTCAGAAATAAATCAAGATCACACAGAAGAGATGTTGCTTTTGATTCAACTGACATATCATAGCTGTTGAGTTCACAGGCTTGAAGAAAGATCATAGTGTTTTAAGTCGCATATATGGCATGCTTGCAAGGCATCAAAGCAAAAAAACAGCTGTCAAATGAGACGTCGCATCACACAAAAATTCTCAGCTGCAGAGCTAAACATGAGACTGCTGTTCATCCTTTAAAACCATCAGTGGAGTGCTGTCATCTCAGGTCTGTAGACGAGAATTTTGAGCGTAATCACAGAGCTTGAGGCTTGAGGTGCTCCAAACAGCCCTGAAACTTGAACCCTGATCATTATCACTCATAAAGAGACCGTCAGTGTTTCACCTTAGGGCTGGCCGTATCGCAAAACAACTGAATGTGCTTGGATATCTTATAATGACAGACTCCTCACAATATGCCGCTACTTAATCCAGTATTTAGGTGTCAACGGGAAATCTGAGGAATTTAAAGCATTTGGAAAATGGAGACTGGAGGTGGAAATGGAGGGAAAGTGTGGAAACTTTATTGTGTTTTGTAGATGAGGTGCAAAGGCTATTATGATGTATCAAAGCCATTGTTAAAGGCACTGAAGAATTGTATGAAATAATTAGACTTGTTTAACTTTTTTTGCTTAGCTTTGCTTTGTTTGTTGTTTTGTTTTGCTTTGCTTTGTTTTTTCTTTGCTGCTTTTTTGTTGTTTTATTTTGTTTTGCTTTGTTTTTTTGCTTTGATTTTTGTTTTTTTTTGCTTTGCTGTTTATTGTTTTACTTTGTTTTGTTTTTTTCTTTTGTTTTCTCTGCTGTTTTTTGTTGTTTTATTTTGTTTTGTTTTGCTTTGCTTAGCTTTGCGTTTTTGTTTTGTGTTGCTTTGCTATGTTTTTTTTGTTTTCTTTGCTGTTTTTTGGTATTGTTTTATTTTATTTAGCTTTGTTTAGCTTTTCTATGTTTTTTTGGTTTTGTTTTCTTTGCTGTTTTTTGTTTAGTTTTTTGTGTTGTGTTGTTTTATTTTGTTTTGTTTTGCTTATTGTTTTTGTTTAGTTTTATTTTTTATCGTTGCTTTGCTTTTGCTTTGTTTTGGTTTGTTTTCAATTGATCCAATGAATCCATTTCCAAAGGAATATTGCAGAAAGAGGAATGTCTTTCCAGAGTCAGCTGTTTCATTCCATGGGTCTCCACAGTTGAGCAGACAGCCTCGCAAAGATGAGAAACCCCTGTGACTGTGTGTTTTATTCTGAGATAAGGGCAACAGTTACATAACACAAATTTTATCTGCTAGGAACTGGTCAGGTTCCTTTGTGGCACAACAAGTTTATCAATTGTTGCTTCTGATTGGAAAGGTTTCAGCTGTCTTTTTTAAGCATACATGCTCAGAGATGTGAGGATGGACTTATCACTTTCTCAGGGCTTATCAGGTCCTGTGCGACAAGATGTGTTCTTATCTCAAAGTCACCTTCCATCCTGGAGCATTTGCTTTTTAATGATCCTGACACACCAGGACCAGACAAAATCAGATATCCTTGTGAATCTTTAATGAGGTTCTGATTGAAAAACATTAAAAGTTACTTCGAAATCCTGCTGTTGAATGTAAAAAATAATAGGCATAGATCATCTATATTCTGTGCTCATAGCAGGTGGTGTCACTGACAACGTGTGCACACATTATATTCACTTTATATTCAGATTAAGGCCTTTATTCCCAAAATGGCTGTTCACAATTAGAAAATCCAGGCCACAGTGCTTTATTTTAATGTACAGGTATGCAAAATCATAACCAATCCTTTCTTTAAAAATGTGTCGCTTCTATTGCATGCCTTCTGAGAACTTAATAAAACCTATCCTTTAAATTTGGAATGAAAATTGAATATTCTAGTTACAATAGATATTGTGAATAAGATGTTTACATGACAAAGAATTCAGATTAATACAGGCATATACCAGCTGTCTTATTCTGATTTCTGGAAGTTTGAATATTGTCTTAATCACATTATTGGGTTATTGTGTTTATATGATGAATACATAATCAGAAAATTACCAAATTCTGATTAACATAAGATAGTCATGTGCATGTAAACATAATTGAAATGTATCAGTGTAAGAATGACATGCCTGAATCAGGTTTGTCTCGTTAATAATGCATTCTTATTCATATAATTTTTCCCTGAAGCCCACTTATAAGGGTAATTAAGATAAATTGCAACAAAACCAGACATAAAATAAGAGTTTATGACAATTTTCCATCCTCTGTTTAATCTTAGAATTATCCTGTCTGTTTTGCCACTGTACCTTTAAGACCTCTATGTAAGTGACCTGTTATGATTGGCTAGCAAGTTCACATTGTTGATCATCAGGGTGGGCCAGAGCTGCTGAATACTAATTAGTCAAATACTAAATACTTAATGATATGCGTATGTGCACACTCATGGTAATGTGCTCATGATTATGATCATTGTCATTATCATAATGACTTATTTTTGTACTTTAGTTTTCATAAATAGTCTGGATTGACTGCTGAGTGTTGCGTTAGAGTAGGTCAATGTAGTACATAGTATTTCTTCTAAAAGTGCAAGAAAAAAACATGTTTTCAAAAATATGTTCCTTTATAGCTATTCATTTGACTGCTTTACATACAAAATGAATAATTCATTATGACCTAATTATGACCTGGATCAGGGCAGTGATGGTATTTCTCGCGTTTTCTTTGCAGTTGGGATGAAAGCAGCTCCATCAGCAGCGGGTTGAGTGACGGTTCAGACAACCTCAGCTCAGAGGAGTTCAACGCAGGCTCCTCCCTCAACTCCCTGCCAACAACTCCCATTGGCTCCCGACGAAACTCCACCATCGTGGTAATTCACTTTAATTGGATAGAAATATTGCTCTCACAGTCTGTGTTTCTGCTTCAAGGTTTGTTGCATCAGTTGGCCAATTTGTGACACACAATACTGGATCAGTCTAGCCTGAGCACACAGTATTTACTGTTAATGGGACGAATGTGTTACAAACCGCTAACCACTTTAGAGTGAGAGAGCGCACACTGACTCAGTCGATACTCATCTGAAATCTATCACCACAGAACACAGACGACACAGTTTATCCCACCCAAAGACTCAAAGATGTGACTCTTCCCTGGCCAAGAAGTCTTCAGGGAGTCTCTGGTTTCATTCTCAAAGTTGAACTCCCATGTAGAGTTACGGGTTCAGTCCACTGTGTGAGTGTGTGTTTGTGTTGGTTAGGATTTGTTGAAGACCACACTGCTTTCGTGTTTAATTTCAGCCATTCTGGCTACCTAAAATCACAGTTTCTTGGCATTGTGAGAAACATTTACCACATTATTACAGTACAGATGGGCCACAGTGTCTGTATTCATTTTGAATGTCATTATAGACACTAGTTATGTCCGACACAAAAAAAATAAAGCACTTATTCATTCTTATGTTGACTCAAACACAAATAATTTGTTGCAAATAAAAATCAATCTGTGAGGTACAGTACAGTTAAAGTTCAAAATGTTAATCTTTAAGCTGATGAAATATTGAAAATATATGTAATACAATTAAACATTTTGGGGTTGGTATGGGTTTTTTTATGCTCAACAAGACTGCATTTATTTGATCAAAGTACAATAAAAACAGTAATATTGTGGAATATTATAGCAGTTTAATATAACTGTTTTCTATTTTAATATACTTAAAAAATGTAATTTATTCCTGTGATCAAAGCTGAATTTTCAGCATCATTACTCCAGTCTTCAGGGTCACATGGTCCTTCAGAATTCACTATAATATGCTGATTTACTGCTCAAAAAACATTTTGTATTATTATCAATGTTGAAAACAGTTGAAACTGAAAAATCAGTTTCCACAAAAATGTTATTTAGTTTTTTCAAGATTCTTTGATGAAGAGAAAGTTCAAAAGAACAGAATTTGATGAATTAGAATTTGATGCTTTTGATCAATGTAATGCATCCCTGCACCAAACCTTTAAATTGTAGTGTATTTACATTAAACAAAAGTTTGTAAAATGTGTTGTGAAAATTTTAAGTCATCTTGGACTGTAGAACTGAAAACAGAAGCAGAAAGCAAACTTCACTTTTAAGAGAAAAAGGAATACTGAAACAAATTTTATTTCAGTTAAGTTTAAGAATTTGAGCATTCCCAGTGCATTGCGGGAAGCACTAACAGTCCACTGCTTTTCAGGAATCTTCTCTAGAGAATGGAGTCAGATTAGCGATGTAAATCGTGAGAACTGTGTCCCTGTCATCCCATTCTGAACCTTAATTAACCTCTCCAGCAGCACCACAGGCTCAGTAATCTGCTTTATGAGGTTACAGTATCACCACATACGCTCTGATGGACCCTTTCAATATGCTCTCCATCAAACAGATCACAGTGTTCTTCCAAACCCCCCTCAGACTCACATACAAGCCTCCCCTCCTCCTCAGCTGACTTTATTGTATGAAGGAGGAGGAGGGAATAATTCTCGGCTTCTTTCTTGATCTGACCCACGCGGCTGTCTTTGCCAGAAGAAGGAAATGACATGTCAACATCACCGTTATACAAACAAGTTCAGACAGGTTTAATTGGACAAATGTGAGCTTGCCGTTTCCCATAATTCCCAGTAAGGGAGCAGACATTCCTCAGATGACATCAACCTTTCACAAAGGGTTATTTACATTTAATAAAGCAGGTATGCCCTTCCACAGAGCTTCTCCTTAAGCCGGACCTAGTTCATTGAGCCCGGCAACATGGCCAGACTCACTCCTCTTACTTTAAATGATCTTTTCTGATGGTTCACTTTCACCAAATCAATTTCACAAAATTAATCTTGTTCTGTTTTATTTATTTTATTACACAAGAATCTTAATCTCACAAGTTAAGAACCTTAAATGTTGTAAGGTTTGATGTTATGCAAAAGAAAAAAGAATACATTCAAAGAATTGTTCACTGAAAAATGATAATTTGCTAAAAATGTATTCACTCTCAGGCCATCTAAAATGTAGATGTGTTTGTTTCTTCATCAGAACAGATTTGGAGAAATGTAGCATTGCATCACTTTCTCACCAATGGATCCTCTGCAGTGAATGGGTGCCGTCAGAATGTGTCCAAACAGCTGATAAAACATCACAATAATCCACCAGTAATCCACACCACTCCAGACCATCAGTTAATGTCTTCTGAAGCGAAGAGCTGCATGCAAGAAACAAATCCATCCAGACGTTTTTAACTTCAAACCATTGCTTTCAGCTAAAATATGAGTCCATAATCCATAAATATATATATATATAGCACACTTTAATGAATATATCATTTTAAGTCTATGACAACAGAAAGCAGGCAGAAACTAGTTTTGTCTTTTAATTAAACCAGTGATAGATAGAGCCGAAACTAAACAGTTCTCCTGAAGAAACACTGCTCTGATGTTCTGTGGTGTGCTGATTTATCGCAGCGTGTGTTACTTCTGTTCATCTCCACTGCTCGTGTTGGAATGTGACCACAATGCATCTCACAAAGCAGGACTCTGAAACAAAACTTCCATGTTTGGTGGCTTATGTCGACATGATAAAACCAAACAGCTGATAAAACATCACAATAATCCACCAGTAATCCACACCACTCCAGACCATCAGTTAATGTCTTCTGAAGCGAAGAGCTGCATGCAAGAAACAAATCCATCCAGACGTTTTTAACTTCAAACCATTCTGTGGTGTGCTGATTTATCGCAGCGTGTGTTACTTCTGTTCATCTCCACTGCTCGTGTTGGAATGTGACCACAATGCATCTCACAAAGCAGGACTCTGAAACAAAACTTCCATGTTTGGTGGCTTATGTCGACATGATAAAACAGTTGCTTCTTTTTCCATTCACCAGAGAGGGGTTCTCATGGTTCTCGTGGTTCTCATTATATCTTGCCGTTTTGATTATTTTTCTCAGAATTGTAAGAAAAGAAGTCTGAATTGAGATAAAAGGTCATATTTACCTTTTTCATTTTTGGTAGAAACAGGCTTCCATTGGTTTTAGAGTGCTATATTGTTTTTTTTCCCCTTTTTTAAAAAAAATGTCAAAATAATTTGAATTGTGTTGTTTTGTGTTTAGTATTAATATGAATTTAATATTAAAATGAATTTATAATAATTAATTAATCCATAATTAATATTATGGAATAACAGAATTTTCAAATAGGGAAGAAATCTTCCTTCTAGCACATTTACACAGAAAAAGAATGGCCACTAACTTTAGTGTCTTAGGTTCTTTTCTTTTCACAATTTTACACTGAAATAGTCACTGAGTGTTTATTTTAACATGAACTCTTCCCACAGCTGCGCACTGATGCCGAAAAGCGCTCGCTGGTTGAAAGTGGCCTTTCCTGGTACAGCGAGGAGGGGAAGGCTCAGTGCCGGAACGAGGGAGGATACAACACGGGCAGCCTTAAGGCGGAGTCGTCCAGCAAGTGGAAAAAAAGCAGATCTCAGGATGACACGGGAGTCAAGGGTGAGCTGAGGAAACCGCAGACGCTTGGCCACCCGCCCAGCGGACTGAAGAAGAGCCGTAACCCTCCTGTAGGCGTGACCTCCCCCATCACGCACACCTCACAGAGCATGCTCAAAGTGCCAGGAGGTTAGTGATGCCACACACAGGCACACATACATCTGATGGTATGGAAACCTTGTTATTAATCTCCCATGATTCCTGACATTCCATCCTCCAAATCCTGCCAACACAGGCATAAATTATCTAATGAATAAGCATTACTTAAATGTACTGTCCCGAAAGTAACTTCTATTGCTCAGAGGTATTGCGCTTTCATAGCTCAAGAGACTTAATGGAGTTCTCAATTATTTTTCACACAAAGATAAAAAGTTACTGTTACTCATAGGGCTGCACGATAAATCGAAATGGAAGTGAAATCGCGATTCGACAGAAGCTGCGATTGTCATGCGTATCTTTCAGTGAAGCACGGTTCTGTGATCAGCAGTAAATCGCCATCCAAAGGCCAGAGGGCGCTCTCGCGCTGAAACTCCAAATACGCCTCGCAGAAGAAACCCAGGAAATGCCTATAGCGGTAGCTGGATAAACAGAAGATTTAACTGCTTTTATTGATTCAACGTGACTAATAAACACATGATTATGATGTCATTATCGCGAACGATTTCTTCGATTTCATAATCGCGCAAAAAAATCACAGACATTTGCATAGCTTCTCAGTGAACTATGGCTCTGTGTAGTAAATGCTGCTCCATCTGAAAGCATGTGATGATGATTTACTGCTGATTACAGAACCGGCATTACTAACAAAATGCGCATGACAATCGCATTCGATTAATCGTGCAGCCCTAGTTACTCACCCTCAGACTATCCAAGATGTAGATGACTTTTTTTCTTCAGTTGAACAGTAAATAAGATTTTTGGCTGAAACCGTGGTCCTTGATGATTCATAAAATGCATGTCAACCGATATCTTCACTTTGAGAGTCAAAAAAACATATACTGGCAACACAAAATTGATACCCATTGCTCTTATTGAGATCTTATGAAGTGAAATGATCAGTCTGCGCAAGAAAGACAAATATTATTTACAACTTTACCTGTAATGCATAGCATATGTATAAGTTACATGTATTAGATATACATACAGTATACTGGGGTGGATATATATATGGGGTGGGTTTAGGTCAATTGGGACATTTTGTGCTTTTTAGTCCTATATAGTTCTTCATTTTTATTATTTTGTAATATGTTTGTATTGTATTTGAGATTTTTTTCCTAAATATGTAACTAAATATCTAAATATCACATACATATATATTTATTACATATATCAGCAGATATCACCTGTTTTACATTTAGCTTTAATGTTTATCTAAAAATTTTTATATTACATTTGTAAAAACACTAAGAATTTAATAATGTTATTAAATGTCATCTGTAAATAATATGCTTTTTCATCGATCGTAGCTTTCAGTGATTTATTTCAAATTTATTTAGACAAAATAGTAAATAATTCATCAGGTATCAGCAATAACAATATACATAATTATTGTCACATTGTTTGATGAAGTGTTTGAGTTCACATTGAGATCTTTTACTTTTGATTCTTGATTTGTGTCATCGTTGAGATCTGTTTGGAGAAAAATCTGAGACGCATGAGTCTTAAGCAAAAGTCTCAATTTGCTCTCCATGTAACCTCATTGTGGTCTAGACAAAACAATTAAGGCATTAAAGAGATCTCGTTGGTGATTCTTCTATTCTGTTGGGTTTTAGTGTTATCGTCTGAGAGCATTAGGTGACCTTTGAGTCAACAAACCGTGAAGTGATTACAGAGTCCAGTATCAATGGCTTTGACCTCATCTAGAAACAAAGCGACTCTTTTCTAATCGGCTTCATCTTTGAATGCAGTCCTCTGTCTCAATGGCAAACTCAGCTGATCGCAGTTAGTGCTGGGTCATTAGATCCGATGCAGAGCTCCAACAAAGCCTGATTCTGCTGCTGGCATGGGTAGAATAGCTGCTAGAGAAAGACGCCCTGTTCGGCTCAGTGCTGGAGTGGAGGATTGGCACCAGATCTCGCCAGCTGTTGTCCTCCACCGGGCGGCAGGGGGGTTGGGGGTGATAACAGCTCTTAAAAACCCTAAATCACCTAACACCACCCACTATTCCTCGTCCAGTGAATGCATCACCCCAGCTGATGTTTTTAGACCCAGTCTCCTTCGCAGTTTACAACCGTAGAGTTGAAAGAGCTCTTCGAATCAAAAGAGCTCCAAGAAACCAGTTGATTCTTTTTCTCGTACATGTAATGCCACCTCGCGGGGATCCGTTTGTCATTTCCAACAAATCGAGAGGCACTGTGGGGAGCACAGCGTTTATGCAGCTGGACCTGAAAGAGACCATCTTGATGCTCTACTGTACGTGTTATAAAATAAACCCATCTATCCAAAAAGAAACACGTCATGATGTCACTCTAATGAAAGGCAGCCATGTTTAGTCTTTCGTTCAGTCAGTGTGTGTTGACATGTAGCCAGAACGTCAACACTTGTGCATATGCCTGCCATTCATGCGGTGGCCAATGTGGTCGAGCTTTCGAACGCACAGAAGAGGATGAATGACAGATTGATGAAATGTAAGCAGTTGCACCCAGTGAACTGCGCAACTCGATCCGCTTTATTCAGAAAACAGACTTTAGATGTTTTCTGTCCAAATTACAGTTTCAGTGAAGCTGTCATGTCAGCCACTACAATAAATCAGTTTTCTAGGAGAACCAAAGAATGGAAATTTATTGAAAGCAAAGTAGATTGTCCTGTCTTGGAGCAATATTTCAATGTAATAGCTAATTTTTACTTACCAAATACGGGCAATTATTTTGTTGCTGGTGCTGTAAGATATGTTTACTATAGGATGGTACTGAATTATTTTTTTTTTTTTTATGCCAAGGACTGCCAAATAAGATGATGTGATGATCCCTTTGCATATATATGTTTGGGGTTAGTAAGATTTTGTTTAATGGTTTCGAAAGAAGTCTCTTCTGCTCACCAAGGCTGCATTTATTCGATCAGTAAAATCAGTAATATAGTGAAATATCATTACCATTTAAAATAACTGTTTTCTATGTGAATATATTGTAAAGTGTAATTTATTCCTGTGCTCAAAGCTGAATTTTCAGCATCATTACTCAAGTCTTCAGTGTCACATGATCCTTCAGAAATCATTCTAATATGCTGATTTGCTGCTCAAGAAACATTTCTGATTATTATCAATGTTGAAAACAGAGCTGCTTAACATTTTTGTGGAAATCATGATATAGTAATATAATAAAGACACTAATAATGTGTTTAATAATACATATGAACTTACTTATTTTATTTTTTTTTAATTTACACAAGATTTCCCCAAACTGTGTTTACAACGCCGTCTGGAAGTTCCACAGCTTCTAACATCACTTGATTCCAATCCATTATCAGTTTTTGAGGAAGCAGCCCAACAGTTTGCAGAACACAATATACTGTAAAACAGGAACAGGATTGTTTCTGTTGTTCCAGAGTGAAGATGTTGTTTTAAATGCTGTTTTAAACATTATTTTTCTTCCAATTTTTCATGACACCAAAGCAAAGCATTGTCACAGTAAACTTTCAGATCTATACCATGTCGTGCTCTTTTATGAGTGGAAGAGTTTACTTGCAGCGACCAGATTCAGAGCGATACATCATGAGTTTGAGACTGATTTGTGAGTCTTTTTTGAGTTAAGAACTAGCTCGTAAGTACTTCTTGTTCATCACATTTGTTTAAACTCATCTAAAACGTTTGAATAAGAACCTAAGGATGCATGTATCTGCCATGGAATAAAAAATAAAAAAGGTAACTGCGACTTTTTCTCTCACTTTTCAATGTGAGATAAACAAACTCAGAATTCAGACTTTTTTCTGTTAAATCTAAGCAGTTCTGTTTTTTTTTTCTCTCGCTCTCTCTTTTTTTGTTTCTTTTTGGTTTCAGCCATGGGGAGGAAAAGGTAATTGCATTCATTTTTATATCACAAATCAGACTTTTTTCTCACAATTGTTATCTTTCTAAATTGTTTATACCAAATCCACCGGGGAAAAAAAGAATGGGCATGCAGGTCTGCATTTACACTGGCACAAAAAATCTGATTTTTTGCTCACATTTGATACAGATCGGAATTTTTTGCACACATGGAATCACAAAAGTCCGCACGAGATCCGATTTTTTCACATCCGATCTGAGCCACTTCCAAATGTGGATTTTAATCGGATACATATATCCGATATCTGGACATCTGACCTAAGTCTAAACACACATATCTGAATCCCCGCGGAACTCCCAATGTGAGGGCGACACATTTGTCAGACGTGCAACTTTATGTAGGCTAGGTAAGAAATTGCACTTTCAGGAGCTGGTTTTCAACCCCTGCCCCGTGAATTTTATAAATACAACAACTTCGCTAAAGCTACATTATATTTCTTAGCAATGACGTGATAACTTTCACTTGTTCACAAGCTTCACGTGCTCTCTCTCTCTTGTTAATTCATTCAAATTCATTTAAATAAATATCATCTTGGTGCTACTTTATTTCACTAAAGAATTCCAGCTCTAACGAGCTGTAGATAAAATAGCCTAACAAATGAAAATGACCTTTATTTTCCGTTATTTATCCATTCAGTCAGATTTTGTGCTGCAAAACATCCATGACAGCCATTGTCCATGCTGGCAAATAATAATGGTGTATTATATAAATAATTTTAATAGCACGGCCATCCAAAACCAGAGGTTTACCATGTGCATGGTAAAGCGATCATTGACTATCATTTTGGGCGGGAATTATGTAAACACAGATATCAGATACCAGTCATGTCTAAAAGTGAATGTAATCAGACGGGTCAAAAAATCAGATATGGTCAAAAGATCGGATCTGTGCATTAAGATTTGCAGTGTAAATGCAGCCTGAGTCATTGTCAGCCAAACCAGATGCAAGCAGAACAAAAACTGGCCGAATGCTTGAGTGGAGTGGTTTGTCCCAGAGACGGTGGAGCACAGAAGCAATCATTAGTCTTTCAGCAAGTTTGTAGATGTTACTGACCAGCAAGCCAAACGTCTGTGTCAGCGCTATCTG